TCCAGTGTGGATCTTCGGATTCGGCGTAGCGAATAGGCCCTGATAAACGCAAAATCTCAAATAGTTTCTTCAAACACTGCCTTTAAGGTTATACGATGACAATAATTGGAATTGATGAAAGCCTAATAAAAAGCACAAGAAAAAAATTCCTACCATGTTCGAAATATCATTGACGGGTACATTCTCATTGACAGTGGTAAGCTGAGGCAATGTAGCAGCGAAAGCCGTTTTCAGCTCTTCAGCAGCCTGAAAAGTGACTGTAAATCTCGGTTCAAGAAAGCAGGTATTTGCTTTCACCTACTAGCATACTTACCCTCTTTAGAGTTGCAGCACTTTCTTCAGCATCTTGGACCTTCAGCTGGATATCTGGTACAAGTCCCTTGAGATCAGCCAATTCCTTTTCGATTTCAGCCTTCTCCGCTTCCTTTTCTGGCTCAGTCATTTCAGCAACCGCCTTTTCGAGGGTTTCTTAAAAGAATTAAATTAGTTCTAAAAAAAAGATTTTGCTAAGTACAAACCAATTCGCAGCTCGATGCACTCCTTGGCCTTTCGATAGTACTCAGAAGCCTGCTCAAAATCTTTGTCCAACTTGTAAACGCGGGCGAATGTCACGTAGGTTTGTGCAATGATCCTGTCACCAGCGGAAAGGTGAAGAAGTTGGATTTGTAGGGCGCTTGTGAGATCATCGAGAGCCTGAAAAGCCTTGTGGACTAGAGCAAAGCAACTGATGTCTCAGCTTTTGAGAATAGGAAACACTAGAAGCTTCAAAAAACTATTCAAAAAGCTCATATAAGATTGTGTAAATAATTCAAAAAAGTAGTAAAGGAACGTCAAACTAAAAATTGTGATGAAGGCTATTTAGAAATGTGAAAGAAAACTACAAAAACGGGCCACATACCTGCTTGTAGTTTTCCTCCTCGATCGAGCACTCAGCCAAAGCGAAAAGAACATCAGCTTTGCGCAATTCCCACTCCTTTGTGGGTTCCTGCTTGTCGCAAATATTGCGAGCAACCTAGAAGCAAATCTAAACAACTGCAATATAACAGCAACAATCTCTACCTACCTCAAGAACTTCCCAAGCCGTTTGGAAATTGCTAGGCTCTTCTTCAGTATCTTCTTTATCGGCTTCGGTTCCCTCCGTTTCAGCTGGCTCGTCAGCAGCAGCATCAGCATCTTTAGCATCCATGGGCTCAGCCGCTTCATCTGCAGCTGTCGCTTCAGCGACTGCTTCGGCGCCGTCGTCGCCAGTCATTTTAGCTGAAGCAGCTTCATCGGATGGCTTCTTTGCTTCAGTCTCCTTAGCGTCATCAGCTTTCTCGGGTTCGGCAGCTGTAGCCTCCTCCTTAGCTTCATCAGCTTTCTCGGGTTCTGCAGCCGTATCATCCTCCTTGGCTTCAACTGCCTTTTCAGGTTCTTCTGCAGTCTTAGCATCTTCGGAGGCCGAAGGAGTTTCATCCTCAGTCTTTTCCTCTAAAAACGCAGTTTCTTCCACAGATACAACCGGAAAACCAAACAGTTTACCGCTCTTTTCCTCAGCTCCTTTGGCCTCTTCTTTTTCCGTGCTTGTTGTCGTCACCTCATCATCGGCTGCAGCTTTTGCCTTATCCAATTCTTCAGCATTCTCTGCAAGTGCTTCTTCAACTTTCTCCCTTATTTCTTCCCGCTCTCCTTCTGCAAAGATCATACTCAGAAATGAA